ACGATCCACATTTGACTTGGATGGGTGACTGATAACAGGAGCAGCAGAAGGACAGGGCTCATTCTGATGCTACGGGGGCTGAGTTCAGATCAAAGGGAAACACTGAAAAAACTGAAGATAAAATATGTTAGAAATAAGGTTCAGGTAATAGCAACTTAAAGAGTCTGACAGCGCTTCCTCCTCCAGCAGGCATTGGCTACCTGTGCCATGGGTTTGTTTTTTGAGACTCGGAATGAATGGCCTTACCCGTTTTGAGGAGATCCATCTCAAGCCTGAGGGAGTGGATACGCATGCATACCCCCTACAAGCTCATGGGGCCCCTCTGTTTTCCAAGTCTCTGGTTCTCTAATAAGAACGGGTGGCCGGGCATTCAGGTTGTACTGATTGTTCTCTTTAAAGTGCCTTGTGATAGGTGGGTTAAGGTTCTCATAGGTGCATCTTAGAAAGTTCAGCGTGAACAGTGCTCTGGACAACCAGACCTGAGGGGTCTCTGCCTTCATAGCCTCCTGTTGTTGGTAAAGGACCTTTTTTAGGCTCTGGTGGGCCCTCTCCACCATGGCTTGACCTGTTGCTGAATAGGGGATGCCTGTCTTATGTTCTACTCCCCATTGCTGCTGGAAGTTCCGAAATTCTTTGGACTTGTATACTGGGCCATTGTCTGTTTTGATGACCTTAGGGATTCCCAATGTGGAGAAGGCTTGCACAAGATGTTTCTTCACGTCTGAGACCTTCTCCCCTGTGTGGGAAGAAGTGTAGATGGCACCAGAGAAAGTATCCACAGACATGGACATATTTAGATTTGCCAAATGATGAGATGTGGGTACATCTGTCTGCCACACCTCGCAGTTCTGCAAACCCCTAGCGTTTGCCTCTGTACTTAGGGAGGGTAGTGAATGGCGTTGACAAGAAGGGCACATGGATACGATGGACCGGGCTTGTTCGCACGTTAGGCAGAATTGCCAAACCAAGCCGGGTGCATTTTGATGGAAAAGCTGGTGACAGATCTTTGCTATGTTGGAATACATCTGGGAGTGGGGCCATCTCAACAGATGCCAAAAGGGCATCAGCTCTACGATTACCTTCTGCGATGAACCCTGGCAGGTCTGTGTGTGACCTTACACGCATCACATAAAAGGGTTGTTCCCAGTGGAAGATTATTTTTACCAATTTTGAGAGTAATTCATATAAAGGAATATTGGAAACTTCTTGCAATACAGCATTTTCTGCCCTGGACACTACACCTGCCATGTAAACTGAATCAGTAACTAAATTGAAAGGTTCTGAAAACCTCTCAAAAGGTCTGGCGACAGTGGCCAACTCGGGGGTTAGGTCCTCAGTGGGAATGCCTAGCCAAGGTCTCACCCAGTTTAGAGACCCACATAGTTGATGGACATCTGCTAAGATTTTGATGTTATTCTTGATGGCTAAGTTTTGCGGCACAATAGTTCACTTTCCAATTTCGAGACCCAAGTACTTCCAAGGTGGCATCATTTGAGTTTTTTCTTCCTGGAGCTCAAACCCAGCAGAAACCAATGCATTGATTGTCAGGTCAAGTGTGTGAGTAAGCATGTCATTAGTTGGGGCACACACCAGGATGTCATCCATGTAGTGCAGGATGATAGAATCTCGTGCAGCTACATGGACCGGGGACAGCAATGAAGAGACATACCACTGGCAAATCACTGGACTGACTTTGAGTCCTTGTGGGAGTACTGTCCAGTGGTATTTCTTCATCGGGGCCTCTCAGTTAATGATGGGAACCGAGAAGGCAAAACGCAGGGCATTGTCAGGATGCAGGGGAATGTGGAAAAAACAATATTTTATATCAATCACGGCTAAAGACCAATTCTGTGGGAGCATTGTGGGCGATGGTAACCCTGGTTGAAGAGAACCCATGTCTTCAATAACGTTATTAATTTGACAGGTCATGGAGGAGTTGCCACTTGTCTTTGTTAGGTTTTTTAATAACAAAGACAGGTGAGTTCCACGGAGACGTGGTCTCTACAATGTGACCCTTTTTCAGCTGCCCGTTTACAAGCTCTTCAAGTGCCTTCAATTTTTCTTTGTTGAGCGGCCACTGCTCTACCCATACTGGACAATCACTTTTCCAGGTCAGCTTCTGGGTAGGGTGCTGTTCAGTGGCCACCGCCCGAAAACCTGAGGGGTTTCTGGGATGTCAATTGTGGTTCCCCACTGCAGTAATAAATCTCTTCCCCAAAGCAGCTCTGTGTAATGTAAAATGAATGGGCATACTAAAGCTACTTTCCCATTTGGGCCCTCAATTTGGATAACACTTTTTGATTGTCTTGCTAACTGGATGCCTCCTACACCCTGTACTTGTCCAGCTACATTCTGCAGTTCAGTGTGACAGCCACTCCCTAGAGGGAATGACTGTAACATTTGCCCTGGTATCTAGAAGTCCTTTCATGAATTTGTACTCTCCACCCCAGTGCAGCCCACATGATAACCGAGGTTTTTCTCTTCCCAGTACTTGAGTCCAGCAGACCTGGGGATGGAGTTTATTTCTGAGAGTGTTTGCTTGTTCCTGGTCCCATGGAGGCTCAGGATGGCTTGGGCTATTATTTGGCCTTGGGGCAGGTACATGGGTGGGTGAGTACAGTGGAGCCAAATGACAAACTGTTCCAGTCTGATGATATGAGACCTGGAATAATGTCAATTTTCTGGGATATGTGTTTTGAATCCCCAACCATGACATACTTACTGTTACGATTTTGGCAAAGCTGTGTCCAAGTACCTGGTTGTTCAGGGTTAACAATCCCCAACCATGACATACTTACTGTTACGATTTTGGCAAAGCTGTGTCCAAGTACCTGGCTATTCAGGGTTAACAGTTGTAAAATGCCAGTCACTGTTCTTGAGATGGAGAGGGTTACGGGAAGAACTGGTGATTAGAACTGGCATGGGATTATCATAGTGAGATGAATGTTTTGTAATGTCCAATGCAAGTGCCTGATTTGGCACAGGTAGTTCTCTTAAACTTGGTTTTTTGTCTCCCCCCTGTGCCGGAATTGAGCGCACCCTATTTTTGTCATAGCACTGGGAAAATGAGCACTCTTGATTCAGTTTTTTGAAAGGTTCTCTTTTGGGGAATTCTGATTTTTATGGTTACTATATTTAAAATCAAAAAACTCCTTTTTCAGAGGGCACTTGGGCATCCAATGCCTCAGTCTCCCACAAAGATGGCAGGGATGGTTAGAGTTGGAGATTTTTCCCTGTGTCATTGTGACACACTGAAGCTGGCTGGTGGGTGCTGGATCAAATGGTTGGGGGACGTCTGCAGCTGCAATCCTCCTCATTGGTTTTGGTCTCTTGTCTTGATAGCAGGGTGTTGGTAACTTTCATGGCACAAACTTCTAACATTGCTTCTAGTGTTGGTGTTGGGTCGAGGGGCAGGCTCAGGATGGCAGCTTTACATTTTTCATTAGCACTTTGCTTAGCAGCCTCGGTGAGGACTTCCAGCCTTGCTCCTTCATTCTGAACTTGCAAGTCCACAACTTCTTTCAACATTTCCACAGAACTAATGAAAAACTCAAATGGAGATTGTGTTATTTTCAAATAATTATCAATTGGAGCATCAGGACACAACCGGAAGAAAGCTTTCTCAGCTGCTTTAACACTTTCTTTGAGAGCTTTTCTGGGAATGCTTTCTGCCTGACTAGCTCCATCACCCCACTCCCTTTCTCCACATAAATGGTCTAATGATATCAACTTTCTAAAAACATCAGTGGCAGTGGTCTCATCACCCCATAGAATTGGCAAATTGACTGTCACTTCTTTTTTCCATGCTTCCTCCCACAAGAGATACTTGGTTTGGGTTAGCAGGCAGGAAAAAAAGCTGTTTAAGGTCAGCAGGGGTTAAATCAGAAGAAGAAAAGGTAGATCTGAAAAGTCCTCTGAAACGTTCACTGTCTCTACCAAATTCTTTCTGAGCCTTGACTAGCTCTGGCGGACTGAAAAGAGAACGGGGTCCAACGCGGTTGAGTTCCCCCATTCAGGTCTGATATGTACGTGACCGGAGCTGCAGAGACGGCAGCTGTTGTCTCCCGGCTCTGCCTCCCCGGCCCTGCTCCCTCCCGCTCCCTGCCCTGGGAGCTGGAGGGCGGGCTGTGGGAAGGACGGCTGGGTGGGGAGAGGGGAGGGCAGAGAGTGCCCTGTCTGCGGGCTGAGGGGGATGAAGGAGGGGGAGAATAGCTTGTGGGGGGGGGAGCAGATTGAGTTTTTGGGAAGCAGAGATGTTGAAATAACTTCCTGATGGCTGTTCCTGCATTTCTGATTTTGGATTTCTGATCTGCATAGCTAGAAAAGCAAATTTTTGCAAATATTTATCACCAGACTTTCCTGCTTTCAGTAACTCATTGCCAGTTTTGTTCCAAAATGCTAAAACATGGATATTTTCAGCTGATACATCGGGGAAGTGAAGAAACAGCCGTCTAACAAATTGTTTCATCTCCCTTTTTGAAAATCCGATTCCTTCACCCTTAAGTAATTCTAAAAACTGATAGTAAAGACCTTTGTGAGACAGAGAAAGCCTGACACCCATTGTGGCTGTGATGTAAAAAACTTTCACCAACCCAGGCAAAAAGGGGAGGGGGAGGGAGAAAAGAAACAGATGCCTGCAGCTGGCAGCCTGCCAAAAATAGAGAAAAAAACTCCCTCTCCGCAGTGAGGTATAAAAAAATGCAAGAAAAAAAGCAAACTTACCCATCCAGCTGTAGAACAGAAAAGAGGGGTTTCCTGGGACAGTGACCTCCACCTGAAATCGATTCCTGGGGTGCCAGGAGTTGCCGATCTCGTCCCCAGGAGTTCCACTCACTAAAACTGAGTGTGCCCTCACTGAGGTAGCTTGCCAGCCAAGGGCTTTGCTGAACAGTCTGAAAGAATGTCCGAACACCGTCCATGAAATCTGGAGGTGGTCTCAACTTCCACGTTGGTCTGCCAAAGTGTCTCCGTCTCTCTGGGTGCCTCCCAGTGAACCCCGGGTCAGCAGACAATGCGGGGGCAGCCCCGAAGGGGCCGACAGCAGGGGGACACTCTCTGGTGCCCCGAGGGTAGCGAGGGCAGCTAGGCTAGTCGCCTTTGCATCAGAAAAGACACTGGAGACCTCGGTAGAGGATAAAGGCTGACTCTCAGCAGGGGGACAGTGCAAGGTTTATTCGGAGCTCCCGAGGGATCCCCGCACCTCAGTGATGCGCCTTGCTCAGAGTGCAACAAAAGGAATCTCAAGGTTACATTTAAAGGGTGGGAGGAAACCGAAGGTAGATACATTTGTTGACCAATAAAGACCCTCCAGGGAAGCAACCTTAGGGATGGACATTTGGGATGGCATATGAAGTAATACTTGAGGGGCTGACTTCCTGGTCTCAGACTAATCACTCGATGACTTAGACTGAAAGTTCTAGCTAGAGAGGATGGGATGCTGAGTGACTGACAGAGAGCCAGGGCGAGGATTTGGGGATGATCTTCACACAGGAGAATGATTACACAGGTAGAGGAAGGGTACAAAAGGGGTACATCATTTGGGGAAAATAAGGGGATACAAAACCAAAACTATTACAAAGTATTACAAAGTACAAAAGCACACTACAACAGTAGATCAAGGGGTATTTTGGGAATCTTTGATGGTTTATGACAATTTCTGTGACTTTACAGCTGCCTCTTACATTGGTGGAGTATCAGTTGTGTGAATTATGGCCCTTAATCAGAGATGAACAACATCAGATCTACTGTGAATGTCCTGGTAGTTCCCCAGAGGGGAGTCTTCACAGCTGAGCCACTTGTGTATGGACTTGTGCATGATGAAAAGCACTATTTCACTACATGGGATTTGCCTCTTATCAGCCTCCTCCCTTGTCTTGTTCAACACTCAGCTGTTGCCTTGGGTGATGGGTGTGCACCTCCTCTTCACCTGGGCAGTCACTTCAAATGGCAGATTGTTTTGAGTATTAACCATTAACATTCCAGTCTCTCACAACTAGTTACATAGTTTCCTTATTCTGGTGGCTAAGTGATTCCGTCTCTTCTCATACTAATTAGTCCCATGCTCAGTCTTTCTCTTCTGATTTGTAGTCACAATCTCCCCCTGCCAGAATTAACTTTTGCCCACTCAGAGCTGATTTCAGCACAGTTTCTGAGTTAGCTTTCCTTGTGGTTGCATTCTTTTTGTCCATTTTCAGTGACACATTCTTGTTTCCCAGGTTTGTTTACCTCTCCCTCCACAGTGGCCTAATTTACAGTCCAGGTTGCAGGTATCCATGTAGGCATATTTGGCAATGGGGACTTCAGTGGTCACAGGTGCAATCTGTTCCTTAACTTGAGGGGATCTTAGACCCTCTGAGCAGTTGCTTCTTTACACAGTTTGCCACAGTGGGATTTTTTTTCTGCATCCATTACCCAGGATGTGCTAGCAGATCTCAATTACATCAGGCTTGGAGTTAGAGCCATCCTGTTGTTCCCATCTGTGCTTATCTCCTAACAAAGTCCTTCTGTAGTAGCAGTGTTTGAGACTGGCAGTTGTGCTCTTTAAGTCCTTACAGTGTCCCACCACACTCAGTGAAGGAACTTTTCCTAATGTCAATCTGAACCTCTCCAGCTGCTGGCACCCATGAGGAAGCAATAGGGTCACCCATAGCCTGCTCTTTTCTAGGCTGAAAAAGCAAATTTACCTCAGACCTTCCTTGTAAATCTGGCCCTCGAGATTTTTCACCTTCATAGTGGCCTTCCTCTGAACACACTCACACAGTTTGATGCCTTTCTTTTGTGTATACTACTTTAAGGGTTTCTCTAAATAGGATAACGCTGCCTGAATAAAGAGACCAGAGCAGAAGGGTTGCACAGGTGGAACAGGGCTGTGTTAGAAAGTCCAGATGGAGAAGGAAATTTTGTACAAAATGGCTCTGAGCCATCATCAATCCTTCTTCATGATCCAAAGAATCCAATTCTGTTAACATGGTATGACTCAGATTGCTTTAAATTGCTTGGGTTTTGGTTTTTTTTAGCTTAGGTGTTGGCTGTACTGTGAGAAGGCACAATGGCAGGTAGAACCAGGGATTTCCCTGTCCATGGCAAGGGTAAGGAAGGGCTACTGGGATGGAGGGTGGAAGGGTGGCGAAAGTGGTGGTATGTGGCAGGTATAAGTGCTCTCTCATCTAGGAACAGCATGGACTTTGCACCAGGGACATGCAGCATGCAGGAAGGGGTACAGATTTCTGCTGCAAAAAATTAGAAAATTACCCCAGGTCAAGATAATGTGAGAAGGGTTTATTTTAAGGATCAGACAGCATCCCACTCTGGAGCAGTTGGCTGGCATGGAATGCTGAAGAGAAGAAGTAGACAAAATTTAAGGTAATGGTCACCAAAGCTCTCAGGGCATGGAATGTTCTTAATCATCTGTGGCTGGGCAAGATCAGAGTCTGATTAGATAACTGATCTGTAAAGGAAACACATATGCTGTCATGCTGCTTGAATGATATATTTTTTAAGAAAGCAAAAGATAAATAGAAACAATTAGTGCAAAAAAGCTCTGCACAGTTGGAACCTGTCTTTTCACCTTGCTGGAAATCTTTCATTGTCTCACTGTGAGACTTTGAGAAGATTTAACCCATCTGTCAGTTTTCAAGTTCCTAACTTGGAGGTGATCAGCCTCAGTAGTACTGCAAGGATAGCTAATAAACAGCAATAAAACACTAAAGACTTTATGGAAGATAAAAGAATCAACAGAAAAATCTGAATAAATTACTTGAATAAATAACATAGAAAAGAGTATAAGGTACTTCATTTACCTTGTCACTATTGGCATGCTTTTCATCCATCTGTCATTTGTTTTCACAGATTGTGAGCTACTTGGAAGAGGATCTGTGTCTGTCCTCAGCACCACCAAAATCATGCCACAAAGCTGAAATAATATTGTGAAATAACTGTCATAGCTATTGAAAGTGTACCACCTATCATAACTGAGCATGTTTGTGAGGTTCTGAGTGTGCTTCTTCCCCCACAACCTCTATGAGGCAAGGAAGCACTCCTCCATTCATCCCACACAAGGACATAAAATGATGAAGACCTGGAAACTGTGTCAGGGCAAAGAAACCTCAGCAATCCCAAAGCCCAGGAATATCACTCAGGTGAGGTGGCATTCTTCAGACACCTTTACTTAGACAAAAAAAACAGATGAGGCCAGCAGTTGTGACATAAGACTTAAAACAGAACCTGTGTCTTTCTGAACTGGTGGGCCCAAGAAGTACCCTGGGACACCCCACGTGTCAGGGTTTAATACAATATGCCTATGTTTAGCACTCCAGTTCCATGTTTGAGCATTTGTACCAAGCCTTACAGCCCCCCTTAAAGCAGTGACAGAAAACATGATCTTTTGAAAAATTACTGGGAGTGTAGCAGCAATCATCACTATTTTCATCTGCTTAGATGCTGGTGTAGACCAAAAAGCCTATAAAGCATGAAGGCTGGCTTCATTTCTGAAAGGAGTAGAAATCCCAAGAAATTGCAATGACATAGGCATTTCAGGTGGAAACTAGACAGATTCATTACCTTGTCACAGGTGACATTCAGCCCACAGGTCTTGGTCCTTTGCTCTGCCATCAGCCATAGCCTCCTTTCTGTCACATGATTTTCTTGCATTACTTGCTGTTATCACTTATTTACTATTCATGGAGAGTTGATGGCATACTCCAAGATGGACTGATGTGCAGGAGAGTGTGTACACTCTCTTTTTTAATAGATGGAGTGTTTATTAAGCAGACTGCCTGACAGTTTTTCTACCTATAGCTCAGAAGTCCGTAAACTTCAAAAACCCCATGGCATTGCCTCATTGATGACACACACAACTTGCTTTTCTTCTGCATTTCTCCTCAGCCTCAGCAGGGAAGACACATTAGTCTCACTCCTAGTGTGATTTTAACAGTGATAAGAGTTATTACACCAGGTAAGACTTAATATACCAGCAGGACATCTATAATAACAGAAGTAGAGCTTCCAAAACAAACTAAAATGACCAGACCTTAAGCCCAGTTGCCAGCAGCTCCTTGGATGCTCTGAGATCTGATCAATACCTGGATTAGCTGTCCATGTTTCAATTAAGCGCCAATGAAACAGTGTGAGGCTGAAGTAGCTGACAAGAGTGTGATTTGGGTCAGGATCAGTGGCCAGTGCACAGGCCAGAAGCTGAGTCCCCCACTTGCCAAGTGCAGGGTTAACACCCAGGTGTGTGACTCTACAGAGAGTTTCATAACTGTGTCACAAGATGGTGCTGCTGCTCAGCCAATGCACAACTTAAGCCTTTGTTGGAGCAACAGAAACCTACTGCTGTGCCAATGTACTGATTCACGTGTGCACATGTTTATTTTTTTAAGTGTTCTGTGGCAAATGAGTGTTTTAGGGTCTCTTAAAGAATCACATCAAAGGCATAGGCGAAAGTAGGTTTAATATAAAACAGGAAGTGTGATGTAGTTAATTTACAAGGTTGCCTCTACTACTTACTACTAATGCTCTGGTTAAAGCACACTGAAAAAGAGCAAACTAACACCTAAAATCAGTCAATTGAAATCCAAAATCAACCCAAAACTTACCTCTGTGGAGGCTGGGGATAAGGATAGGAAAGGAGGAAGGATAAACAGGAATAAGGAAGACTGTCCCATTGCACCACAAGTTTCAGAGTACACCCCTTTGCTAAACTGTGCCCCAGGCTTGACCAACAGTTTAGGCCTACAGCTTTAACAGCACTTAAGAGCACTTAACTGACTGGTTAAGTTGAACAATTTATCTAAAGATTCATATAGAATTTACTATAACTTATAGGCCTAACTTACAAATACGAAGTACTTAAGAATCCAGGAGAGCAGCATTCCATGTACCCAGCATATTCACACTCTCATGCACCCAGACCTAAAGAGTCTGTATAAGACATTCACAGAGTACCTGTGACAAATTTTCCTTAAATTTGGTGAAAGACACACATCTGGTACCTTGGGATCTTCCCAATGAGCAAAGGGTTGAGTCTGGAGAAGCTCCATCATCGTCATTCAGAGATTGTCCAAGTTTAGCAAACTTGAGAGTTCTCTGGCTCATAGAGGCCCCACATAGAGGGAGATGCTGGTCAGTCACTGCTGTCCAGAAGAGCTTAAAGAGTCTCACTTTCGACCGTTGTTTATAAAGTCACAAGAGAATGGGCTTCAATCATAATAATTTTTCATCTTGACTGCAATTTTGGCTAGTATATTCTTTGAAAGTTTGATAACAAAATTGTTATTCTGCTTGGGTTGTTTTTCAGGCAAGAAAAATAAGTTTCTGAGGCTTCTCACTAAAAATCAGGAGCTCATTAGACAGTACCAGTTCCTGGGAACAGACTGATTTTGATAAGCACAGGAGGAGCTCAGCCCAGATGCTGTTTGTGAAGATTGAGGCCTAAGGAGCATTTCTCAGATCACAGTGAGGCCCCAGGAGGAGTATAGGGGATGCACACCACCTGTACATGTATGCCATTGCACATCTCTGTAGTGTAGATAAGTTAAAATTCATTACATCCAAATCTTGATCACAGAGAAGGTCTTTGAGTTCTTTAATGCACTTTTCTCATGAAAAACCCCCCAGGATAACACCACTTTGTATCAAGTAGGTTTACTCCAGTAAATAACCTACAATAACAAGAATCTTTTCAATTTTTTAGTTCTGATCCCCATTTCCCATATATGTTTCTTCAACTCAGTTGAGGAGCTATCGCTCTTGCACCAAGAATGACACAGGAACAGGCGAGAGGCAGGATTGTAGAACAGGTAAAGAAGGCTTTATTCAAAAGAACCGTATGGTTTTTATAGAGCAATACGATGGGTTCTATTTGACTGGTTAACTAACAAAAACATCTTCCTCGCACACTGTCCTTGAAAAGAACAGGAAAACAAAGTAGAAAAACACCACCTGCAAGTTGCTTATACTTAACAAGTTATCACATCTTTCCAACTCCCTAAAATTTCTCACAAGCCACTGTGAGAAACGCTTGACGTTTCTCTCTCTCTGTCCTATGGCATCCACAAGGAACAGATTCTGAACTTTGTTTATTCATGGTTTTGTATTTATTAATCATATAGGCAGCACTTTACAGAATTTGGTATTCTGCTGTCAAAACCATTAGAAGAGCACTAATGCATTCATACATTGGCTTTACAATTTGGTGTTACTCTTATGGTTTGCAGGTATGTCTGATATTCCAGGTGTTCCACATATTGTACACAAACGAAGACTGACATAGAGGTGTTACTGCAAGAGCAGTAACAGATGATCCAGCCACTCACCTTAGATTCAGCTGTGAGGAGACACAGCCCTGCAAAGACCCATTTAACTTCCAGGTTTGTTTCTCTTCCGCTCAGAAATGAAAATTCTCCCATGAAGGCAATTTGCAGGCTCTTCCTCCTTGCCCAGATCACTCTTGATGGGCATTGGTGAAAAAGCCAGCCAAAGTACAGACTCTGGGTGCCAGTTGTCAGGGTGTGGGAGAGACCTGAGAGCCTGTGGCACCTTCCAGCCTATTTGGGTAATTCAGGGAGTTGCAGAGATGTACAGTAGGAAAATGTCATATATTCAAGTCCAGACTGCCAGCTGGTGTTAAAACCTCAGGCTCCCTTTTGCTGGCCCTTTTGGGGTGACTTTTGCTTGAGGGTCTATTTATGTGCCTGATAAAACTGTGAGGCAAACCAAATATTTTCTTCTGAGAGCACTCAACAGATGAGCAGCTGAAGGGAAAGAGCTGTTTGGACATCTACCACTGGGATGTGACAACGGATGCTATGTATGTCAGTCCCAAGAGACCCAGGAAAAAGCTGGTGAGTTTGCTGTTCTGCTTGGCTGTGGGTGACCCTCCTGTTAGTGTCAAGCATCTGTTCTCATCCTGAATCACTATGGGATGCAAAACATGAGCATGGGGTGAAGACCCCAAATGACATAAGCATTACTGTGTGTCTCATCTGAGACAATGTCAAATTAACCTTCAAACCTGACACCTTCTTGGAAAAGATTAATTTATTGCCAGTTTAAAATGGAGTTGGATACTGGAAAAACCACCATTCTCTTACCCTCTCCTGCTACCAAAATCATGGATGGGTTCAGCTTTGGCCATGGCAGGTCTGGCTGGAAACCACCTGGAGCTGGCTGTGCCTGACAGAGGGGCAGCTCTTTATGTCTTCCTACAAAAACCACTCCTGCAGTCACACAGGCCCAATACATAGACCCGATTCAATTGTCTTTCAAGCCTGTGCTGCTGGAAACCCCAGGCTGCTGTGGAATACAGCTGCCCTATTCCATTATAAGACCAAGAGGGCAGCTACCCACTGTGCAGATCTCAAAGATGTGGTGTAAATCAAATCTGAGTCAGCAGCTTTGCACTCTACTCCTTTGCTGACTGGTTAACAGAGCAGTAGCTACGAGCGTTGTTTTCCAAGAGAAATGTAGATTTTAATTTGAACACAATTTCCTCACCCTGAACAATTCTCCCTCTCACATGCATTCACAGAATTCACAGAATGACTAGGTTGGAAGAGACCTTAAAGATCATTGAGTACAACCCAATATTAGTCAATGAATATTGTTTCAGAAAAAGCAGAAGATCCTGCTATTCCAACAGTCATGTCATATTCCAGTATGGAAAAACACTGTTTTTTTGGAACAACACTCCTTCTCCCATTTTTTCTCAGGAACTGTGGTCTACTGGTTTCTCCTATTGACAACCTTCATTTTGTTTTCTCTCCTGGAGGCTGCTCATGCTTCCAAGACTAAGCACAGAAACTGCATGCCTGGCTCTATATTAAATCATGGGAATAAAATGGGAATTAAATTTAAGAGATCATTATCACAGAAGCTTTGTGTTCTGTGTCCTGCTGTAATTGCTGCTCAATGCACTTAGGCTGTTGCCAACTTCTTCTCACTGCAAAAGTAAACCTCTGAACTGTTTTCTTTGTGTTTTCTTTCAAAGAAAAGAAGGAAGCCCAAACTTCTGCTATATCATGTGAAAGTTGGTTCTGTGCTATGGGAGCACAGTCAAACACCAGGGAATGGTCTGGGGACACTGTGTAGAAGGCATGGATCCCACATCTGAAATTCTAATTAAAGCTAATATTTAATTTCTTATCAGTACTGTTCAGTATCTTTATGACTAACATGGACATCATGGGATTGAGTGCACCCTCAGCAAACTTGGAGATGACACAATGCTGAGTAGTGCCGTTGACACAGCTGAAGGACTGAGGGTATTATAAGACTGGTAAAACACTGGAAAAGGTTGCCCAGAGAGTCTGTAGCCGTATCTCTGGGAACATTAATTCAGTTTGCAAATGGCCCTAAACACCTACTTGAAACTGAAGATGTCCCTGCTTATCGCAGGGCAGTTGGTCTAGATGACCTTTAAAGACTTCTTGCAATCCTGACTAGCTTTCCACAACTTTGGGTAGACTAAAACTGTGTAACAAACCAGACTAAAACTGTGTAACAACCAGCTATGTTGTAACTTTTATGTGCTGCACTTGTGTTTTAGTTTATGGCAATTGCTCCTTTTCCTGTCCCTGGGCATCGCTTAAAAGAGTCTGGCACCATCCTTTGGCACCTGCCTTTGAGATATTCATATGCATTAATGAGATTTCTTCTCACAAAGCTGTGGATGGCTCATGCTATACTTAAACTTGAATGCACTAATGCTGGCTTAACCTAGTGCACAAAATGAGAACACCTGTGTGTCAGACTAAGACCCAGTTGTGGGAGACATTGTTGAGCTTCTTAGAAGATGAGCTGCCTGGAAGGAGATTGTAGCAAGGGAGAGGTCAGCCTTCTCTCCCATGCAACAAATGACATGGTGAGAGGAAGTTGTTTATGGAGAAGTTTCAACTAGACGTTAGGGAAAAAAAAAATCACAGAAAGGGTGACCAGATATTGAAATGGGCTGCCCCGAGAGGTGGTGGAATCACTGTCCCTGGAAGTGTTTAAGGAAAGAATGGACATGCCATGGTCTGGTTGACAGGGTCGTAGATTGGACTTAGTGATCTCGGGAGTCTTTTCAACCTAAATGGTTCTGTGATTCTGAGCTGAGGAATCACTAAACCCACAGGGTGTGGCTCCCCCCTCCTGAGGGGAAGGAAGATTCATAAATGCTCCTGGCTGAAAGGAACAACAGAAGTCTAAGGGTCTGCAAATAATCAGAAAGTTTTATTAGTAAATTACACACTCAGCATGGAAATTGGTATTCTAGTCCCTGACCTACTATATAAGCACGTGGCAATGGGTTTTAGATAAAGAAGTAGTGTGAAAGGGAAAACTAAAGGAAGAGATGAACTAAAGATGAGAAGAAAGAAAGAGAGAAAAAGAAGAGACCACCACTCCTGGATCTAGCATTGATCCAGCTGAAGGGATGTCGGTCCTGGTGTCAGAATCAATCCAGCTGTATCAATCCAGCCAGCGGGATATCCTGTGGGCACCGCTTGGGCTTGGGGGATACTTTCTACGGCCTGAGTTCCCCGTCCTGAAGTGTTTCTCCCTTTCTGTGCAATCAGTTATCATGGGCAGTCTGTTCTTTCAGACCATTTATGGAAATGGGTCGGAGGGCTTTGGGGATCTTGGGTGGTCTGTGTTCCTCTCCACAGTCCATGCTCTCCTTCTTCTTGGCCTCACCCCTGCGCTTGCTGTGTCTGTGCTGTGCTCATCTCCAAGGTTGATAAGAAGGATGGTTTTCCCCAGAAAGTGCTGTCTCAGATCCGCATGGCCACCTTACGTTTCTCCGGCCACCTCTCGTTCTTTCTCACGGATTCCCCACGGGGCGGCCCGCCGGGACAGGGCTGGGAGCGGGGCCGGCACTCGGGCTGCCCACACACCCGGGCGGGCCGGAGCGCCCGCCGCGCCGCCAGGGGGAGCCCTCCCGCCCCGCGCCGGACGCCCCGCCCCGGGCCGGGCAAGCGGAGCGCCACCATTGGCTCAGCGCCCAGCCCCGCCCCTCGGCGGTCACGCGCGCGGCCTCACCGTGGCCGGAAGTGGCAGGGCTGGGCGGCGGGTCCGGGTCCGCTGCCGCCGGTGCGCCCGAGCGCGGCCCCTGCCGCCCCTCTCCCGCCGGGTTCCCTCACCCACCCCCGCCATGCACCCGCGCCGCCCCGAAGGCTTCGACGGCCTCGGCTACCGCGGGATCGGCCGCGACGAACTGGGTCCCGGCTCCAGGCCCTTCAGCGGCGGCTCGGAGCTGGGCTCCTGGGTGACCAGCCCGCCCGACATCCCTGGCAGCCGCAACCTACACTGGGGCGAGAAGACGCCGCCGTATGGGGCCGGGACCCCTCTGGGCGGCGCCGGCTCCAACGAGGAGGCCAACCTCGCGGCGGGCGGCCCCGGCGCCGGTAAGGGAGGGCCCGGCCTGCGCTGGCCCGGGTGCGGCCGCCGCCTCTCGCCGCTCCCGGTCCCGCTGACCCCGCTTCCACTCCCGCGAGCGGTGACCCGCCGGGCCGGGCAAGGGCGGGCGGCGGCCCTGAGCTGTGCCGCGGCCAAGCCGATCGCCGCCCGGCCCTCCTTTTCACCGGCGCTGCTGAAGCGCCGGGGAATAAAGTCCTTTAGGAGAACACGGAGTGGTCCGTCGCTGCCTGTTGCGCTCCAGCACTGTGCAGCTCCATGCAAAATGATTTGAGAGTGCCAGAATGTGTCCGCAGCTTCTCGTTAAGCATTGTGCGGGCAGCTTGCTCCTCATTGCCCATGTAAACAATGTCCTGCAGAAACACTCCGCCCTCTTTAAAGGCAGGAAGTGCTTTTGGTTCTTACAGTGCTGCGTTATTGTGATGGTGTTACAGACTGCTTGGCTTCTCTCGGGTTTAAAACATGAGCTGCTGACGTGAACCGCCGCGTGATAGCGAGGGAACTTCTTTTCTTTCAGACTGGTAGGATTTAAGGAGGCAATTGAGCACAAGGCTTTTTCAGTAATTGCTGGGAAACTGAGTATAAGCCTCCATAAATAAAATTATTTTAGATCTTCATGAAATTGAGGTGAATTAAGGAGAACTTGCAGTATCTAGGGTGCTGTATATTGTTTTCTGTAAATAAAAGGAGCAGGTTATAGACACACGAGTATCAAAAGGTTTATGAAATAGTAATTTTCCTGAAATCAAATTATGTTAGTAGGCAGGTCTTTTTTTCTGACCTGTTGTGCAGTGTTTTTATTCAGGTCTTATAAAGAGTACAGCCTTTAGCTAGGCTCCAGCCATGCATGCACTGGTTGAAGCACTGTTTAAGTATCCTTGCATAGCTGAACACTACATTTTTTCCCCACTATCTACATGTGGAAGGTGTGTTTGTTCTGCACTTTGGAGCACGGATAAGGAGTTGCTGTAATCACTGAATCCGGCAGCTGCAAATGGTATCTTACCATTTTTAGTAGGGCTGCCACATATGTGTGGAGTCCCACTGAAGTTACTGACTCTATCCATGCCTTCAAACTGCTTGCACTCTGAAAACTGTAGGGCTGAGCATTATCTTTAAAATGCCTTTACTGTTCTGATGCTCGTCTTAAAATCCCATCTGATTATTCCCAATGTGCAAGTGTCTGTCTGGTTGCAAGCAACAGAGAAAATTACTTTTATAATTCTCCAGTAAGTAGACTTTTGCAAAGGACTGGAGATAAACAACTGGCTTGAAAATTTGCTTTATCCATGGCTTTTTGTAACTTCACCCAAAATTTTACCTTCTTACTGTTTCAACATTATTTTCACCTCAATTATCTAAATTTATGTTTCAGAATTACTGTAAACTCATGCATGCTAAGCAGTTGGTTTGAGTTGGTTTTTTTTAAGATATTAAAATGCTCTCTTTTTTACTGTTCATTTTCTCTGTTCTTTTTTTTCCCTGTAAGAAAAGCATAATTTTATATATAAGAATATGTACAAACTCAAATGCAGTCCAAAGTGCAAATATTCCTGGGGGAATAATTTTTTTATATCTCCAGTTGCTCAACTGCCATAAATATTGTGGTTTAGTGCTTGTAATTTTCTAATGCTAGTACAGAATAAAATTAGTTTTTCAGATCCTGTGCATGGCATTTTCTCTATTTTGTGATTATCACTGCTATATAATCTGGATTTGTTTTGGTTTTTTTCTTTTTCAGAGCAGTTGAACAGATTTGCTGGCTTTGGTATTGGCCTTGCAAGGTAAGAATTGTGTTCAGTAACACAACTTATAAATCTTACATAGGCTTCTTTATTATGTTTTTATTCCAATAAGCTGTTGAAATGTATTTAGAAACCTACTACCCCTATTTAGGTTTCTGTTTTCTTTTAACTGTTGACAAAAAATACTTACGTGAATGGAAGAAACAGTTTTTCATATGGAATGCCCATGATGTGTGTACCCTGTGCAAGCAATCTGAACGTAACACCAGAAAACTTCTTCAACATTTGCAACTTTTATTAATATTTCTAGGCAATACAAATATTTCCTAAGAAAGTGAAAATGTCTTCAAGTGTATTACCAAAGTACCCTCGGATCATAATGTTCATCTAACCAAGTGGTCTGAAGGCCATTTTATTTTTTTTTATAGTAATCCTGATTGTTGATCGTATTTTTGACAAAGTGTTGAATTTTAAGATGCTGATGTCCAGGGAAAGTTTTACCTCTTTTGGTAGTAGCAAACTACAAACTAGCTCAATAGTTACATAACTGCAGTATTTTTCTATGCCACTTGTGTATTGGAAGTTGAGAAATCTACCACAGATGATTCTGTGGCTTGTGTTTGTAAAAACCCTGCATGTTCTACTTTTCTAATCCATGTTCCAGGTTTGAACAATGTACAGGTAAGTACTCTGATCACTCAGGCACTTTGAGATGAAATTAATATTTTCTCTGAATGGCTGCAACCAGGAATTCTGCTTTGGAGGTGAGAACTTTCCTGTGAAGTTTTGATTGAAATATGACTTCTGGCCGTGGTAGGAGAATTGTTTTGAGTCAGTACTGTT